TATAGGCTCGAAAGCCTACTACCAATTAAGCATATTAGGTGATGTGCATCTCTGTAATGAGAAGGGGTGTGGTCTAATGACATCAACACCCTATATCAGGTGTGCATAATTATTAGGCAACTTCCTTTCCTTTGGCAAAATGGGTCAAAAGAAGGACTTGACAGGCTCAGAAAAGTCAAAAATAGTGAGATATCTTGCAGAGGGATGCAGCACTCTTAAAATTGCAAAGCTTCTGAAGCGTGATCATCGAACAATCAAGCGTTTCATTCAAAATAGTCAACAGGGTCGCAAGAAGCATGTGGAAAAACCAAGGCGCAAAATAACTGCCCATGAACTGAGAAAAGTCAAGCGTGCAGCTGCCACGATGCCACTTGCCACCAGTTTGGCCATATTTCAGAGCTGCAACATCACTGGAGTGCCCAAAAGCACAAGGTGTGCAATACTCAGAGACATGGCCAAGGTAAGAAAGGCTGAAAGACGACCACCACTGAACAAGACACACAAGCTGAAACGTCAAGACTGGGCCAAGAAATATCTCAAGACTGATTTTTCTAAGGTTTTATGGACTGATGAAATGAGAGTGAGTCTTGATGGGCCAGATGGATGGGCCCGTGGCTGGATTGGTAAAGGGCAGAGAGCTCCAGTCCGACTCAGACGCCAGCAAGGTGGAGGTGGAGTACTGGTTTGGGCTGGTATCATCAAAGATGAGCTTGTGGGGCCTTTTCGGGTTGAGGATGGAGTCAAGCTCAACTCCCAGTCCTACTGCCAGTTCCTGGAAGACACCTTCTTCAAGCAGTGGTACAGGAAGAAGTCTGCATCCTTCAAGAAAAACATGATTTTCATGCAGGACAATGCTCCATCACACGCGTCCAAGTACTCCACAGCGTGGCTGGCAAGAAAGGGTATAAAAGAAGAAAATCTAATGACATGGCCTCCTTGTTCACCTGATCTGAACCCCATTGAGAACCTGTGGTCCATCATCAAATGTGAGATTTACAAGGAGGGAAAACAGTACACCTCTCTGAACAGTGTCTGGGAGGCTGTGGTTGCTGCTGCACGCAATGTTGATGGTGAACAGATCAAAACACTGACAGAATCCATGGATGGCAGGATTTTGAGTGTCCTTGCAAAGAAAGGTGGCTATATTGGTCACTGATTTGTTTTTGTTTTGTTTTTGAATGTCAGAAATGTATATTTGTGAATGTTGAGATGTTATATTGGTTTCACTGGTAATAATAAATAATTGAAATGGGTATATATTTGTTTTTTGTTAAGTTGCCTAATAATTATGCACAGTAATAGTCACCTGCACACACAGATATCCCCCTAACATAGCTATAACTAAAAACAAACTAAAAACTACTTCCAAAAATATTCAGCTTTGATATTAATGAGTTTTTTGGGTTCATTGAGAACATGGTTGTTGTTCAATAATAAAATTAATCCTCAAAAATACAACTTGCCTAATAATTCTGCACTCCCTGTAATGGCAAGACATTCCTTCTCAACAATGGAGTAGTTCTTCTCATGTGGGTTTAACTTCCTGCTCAAAAAAAAAAGACAGGGTGTTCTCCACCCTGGAATTCATGTGAAAGTACTGCCCCTAAGCCCACTTCAGAAGCATTGGTCTGCACTATAAAGTCTCTAGAAAAATCTGGAATAACTAAAATAGGTTGGGTACAAATAGCTTCCTTCAGATTTTTAAAGGCTTACAAATAGCTTCCTTCAGCTTCTGGGCGCCATTTAACTACAACTGGTGAATTTGCTTTAGTGAGGTCTGTTAGAGGTGCAGCAATGGTAGCAAAATTTGGAATGAATCTCCTATAGTAACCAGTCAAGCCTAAAAATGCCTTCACTTGCTGTTTTGTAAGTGGCTGTGGCCATTTTTGTATGGCTTCCACTTTGGCAGTCTGTGGTTTAACCAATCCCCTCCCAATTGAATATCCCAAGTACTTAGTTTCCTCTAAGCCAGTCGTACACTTGGAAGGATTGGCAGTTAAGCCCGCCGAGTGGATAGCGTCAAGCACTGCTTGAACTTTGGGGAGGTAGGATTCCCAGTCTGCACTGTGGATGACGACATCATCCAAATAAGCTGCAGAATAATGAACATGAGGTTTAAGAATTCAGTCCATCATTCATTGGAATGTGGCAGGTGCCCCATGTAACCCAAATGGCAATACGGTATACTGATACAAGCCATTGGGTGTTGAAAAGGCTGTCTTTTCTTTGGCTCTTTCAGTGAGAGGGACTTGCCAGTAATCCTTTGTTAGATCTAAGGTTGTTAGATAACGAGCTTCACCCAGTCTTTCTATCAACTTATCAATTCTTGGCATTGGATAAGCATTAAGTTTTGAGATGGCATTTAGTTTGCGGTAATCATTACAGAACCTCCAGGTGCCATCAGGTTTTGGCACCAATACAATAGGAGTGATCCAGTCACTCTGGGACTCTTTAAACACTCCAAGTTTTAACATTTTTTCAACTTTTAAGTTTATAGCCTCCCTCCATGCCTCAGGGATTCTATAAGACAAATAATCATTGTTACTGTTTGCTGATAAAGTATGAAACTGTGTCCCCATTCCACTTCTACTTAAATAGGGACAAGCTTGTATCCTTAACTATTTATAATAAATTCGGAAAAATAATTTGATTCTTTGGTAAACCTTTTTTAAAAATGGTAATGAATTTTTACTTTGTTTTAAATTTCGTTTATCTCTCTGGAATATATATACCCTTCCAAATGAGCTAAGCAACATCACTATCAAGGTAAATTGCTTAGTGAGGCAGAGTACAGCAGGTCATTGTAATTACATAGGTTGCACGACATAATGTGCAGTCATTTGGAAGTGCAAAATATACATTATTTATAGTAAAATTCGAGAGGACTCTTTTTGTGTCAAGTAAAAGAATTGCTTTTCTTACGTACAGGGTGAAAGTGGTTTCAGAGACCATTAAATGACAAAGAAAAACAAGAAATTTTGGAGTTGAATGCTACCGTAAAACAGTCAGGTAAGATCAGAACCTTAACTTATTTAATTTTCTTTTTTGTGTTAGATTCAGTGGAAAATAAATTCAAGGGATCAGCATGGGTTTTCAAAATCAAAACACAGCGGTACTGTACTGGAGTCAGGCCTCCATCAATTTGTATTTATATGTTACATACAAGGAAAACACTCCACAACTGTTTATACAGTGAAAATGTGATGTTTACTATGACAATAAATCTGTATTTTAATTCGCAAGATTTTTCTACAAGCTTGAGAAAGATCCTAGAGAGCAGCAACGTTGTCCATTTCACTGGGATTTAATATGTTTTACACTACTAAAATGAAGCTACTGTGTTGAGTTCAATTTATATATATATATATTAATAATAAAATATTCCTTGCACTCACGCTTAAATAGTCCACTGTGCCTTATTAGGCTTGCCGGGTGCCAGTCTTTAGGGTCCTTCAGTGTAATACACGAAACAAAGCAGGCTGCACTCACGGACTTTTGAATTTCAAATGTGGTTTATTCCATCCAAGAAACAAAAACGATCATCAGGTCATCAGGTCCCTGCGTGGACCGAAACGTTGATCGTTTTTGTTTCTTGGATGGAATAAACCACATTTGAAATTCAAAAGTCCGTGAGTGCAGCCTGCTTTGTTTCGTATATATATATATATATAATTATTTATTTATTTTTGTAAGTGCAAAAAAGATAAAAACATTAACATTTCAAATTGGTAATTTCTGTATCATTAATATACACCTGTCTAAACTATAATCTCCTTCAAGAAAAGTTCTCTTTCAGCGGCAACCCCTTACTTATTCCACAAAATGTGTACATGTAACTTAAATAATAGATGTTTTCTTTACAAACAGATCTAAAACATTCATATAAAAAATAAAAATAATAATAATTAGGCGCATTAGAACCCTGGCTTCGGAATCTTTTACCTAACACAGGATATCGTATCTGTCTGTCTATTTTATTTTATTTTTGTTATTAAAGCGGTAAGATACAGCTTACCATTTTTTGAGCATTCTCGTCTGTGATGTTAGTGTTATATTCCCATTGTGCAACTGCTGCTTCATGGTACAGAGGTTCTCCTACTATCTGAAACTGCTCCAGGAATTGTGAAGCTTGTTCAGTAACACTTTGAGTGGCACCACTGTCAAAAATAACCAAGGCACAAAAAAGCCAAAGAAGACGCGACATCTTTCTCTCTGAGCCAAGATTCAGCCAACTGAATAATATCCTTTACGGAATTCTTGAATATCCAAGCCTGTATCTTCAGCCTTTGAACTTCTCGGTACAGGTTGTCAAAGTTCAAATCAGGAAGTGCTTGTCTTGTTTGGATAAAATGGTTTTATTGTCATGATAACACTATCCTCCATATCAGTACTATAACAGAAAGGAAAGCAGATTTCTGTATTTCTGAAGGAAATCACATAATAATGAGGTCATATGTCGGTTCACTGACAGTCTCTGTCCTGTTTATCTACAAACAATCACACTTGATAATGATTGAATGTTGCTTAATCCATTTGTAGCCTGTGTTCGATTGACAATATTAGTAGTACAATAGTCTGTAAGGCTTTCTCCAAAAAAAGACAAATATGCGTTCTGTAAATATCCATTATTTACACTGTCACAATTAGGTCAGTTCAAGAGGATTTTTCATAACATATGGTTCTAGTGAAAACTGATGAGGTTTTGGCGCACATATCAGCAGGGAGAATTTTAATTATTCAGAGACTGAGCAAGAACTCTGCAACGTAAACAGAGAAATTGTGTTTTCCTTCCAAAAAGTAAAAAAAAAAAAATGAATGTCTTGAATCAGGAAATAATATCCGTTGTCATGATACAGCATTGATCTCTGGGATTCTACACTGCACTGCAACTTGTAACAGTAAATCATTAGACTGTAATGGGTGTTTCTCTATCTTGTAGAATTTTCAGATTATATAAAGCTCTGGCACCCAATAAAATGGCAGAAATGACACTGCCCTTGGCTTAGACAGCACAAACATGGGCGGATAGGCCTATGTAATGCTTTATCTTTGGTATATCCTGAATTTTTAATCCAGGTTTTCTAGAGAACAAGATGACAAAAATAATTATGAGCAGCAAACACCTACAAAAAAATCAGACGCTATCCTCTGGTTAAGAATTAAAGGGACACTATAGTCTCCAAAACAACTATAGTTTAATGATGCAGTTTGGGTATACAGATCATACCTCTAAAGTCTCACACTGCTCATTTCTCTGCATTTAAGAGTTCAATCACTTTTGTTTCTGTTTATGCAGCCCTAGCCACACCTCCCCTGCCTGAGACTGACACAGCCTGAATGAAAAAAAAAAAATGTTTTAATTTTCAATCAGATATTAACTTGCTTTAGAAAAAAAATTGAATCTCCAGCTCGATATATTGAACTTTAATCACACACATGAGATTATCAAGTTATTAACAGAGCAGGAGATAGTATATACTAACTTAAACAAACTATGCAATAAAGGAAGTGTAAACATTAGATTTCACTTTACAGGAAGTGTTTAGGAAGGCTGTGCAAGTCACATGCAGGGAGGTGTGACGAGTGCTGCATAAACAAAGTGATTTAACTTTTAAAGGGCAGATAATGGAGCAGTGAGACTGCCGGGGGATGATCAAACTGATTCATTAAGCTAATATGTTTGAGTGGCTATAGTGCCCACTATACATTTATATATTTGTATTATTATTTTAAAATTCAAAGATGTTGTAAAAAATATTTTTTTACATAATTTTGTTTCTGAAATAAACTATAGATATGTGTCCATATCTTCTTTATTTTAGGATAACTCACCCGCTATAAAAAGACAGTTGAGTATTGTGAGTATTAGTCACTTTGTGATTTGGTGAGAACTCACTTCAGATGCTGCAAAGCGTTATTATTTAAACTCGGAACACATGGAAGATCTTCATAAGTTTTCATTATTTTAAAAAAAAATTGGAAAACTCCAGCTGTAATGTACATGTACAATAATCCATAAAACATGTTGGGGGAGATTCATTAAAGTATCCATTCAAAAGAATGTAAAAGTGGAGGAATGACCTGTGAAATGTGCCTGCTGGTTCCATTGGTTTCCATGTTGATTTCCCACGTTTAAAACTTTAGAATACATTTTATGAATAAATATCCCCCAATGGGTCTAATCTAGCCTTGTATCCCTTTAAGTACTTTAAAGAGTGATCCATGTTTGCCAGCCATAAACACAGCTTTAGGTCATTGGTCTTGTGGAAAAGGTTGACATATTCACCAGCAGTTGGAACATTCAGGTCAATTATCAGGTTACAGAGCGATACATATAATTCAATAACTGGCACAGCCTTAACACCCCTTTAACTCTGTTTATAGACCACATAACTCCACATACAGAAAGAAGAAAGAGTGGTTGCATGTTTGGAAAATGTCTGATCACAGATCATTGCTGTGTATTTGAAACGTAGCTATGTCAAAGGTAGATAGTCTATGTTATTTAGAAACCTACGTGAAAACAGTTTACTAAAAACGATCAGGAAGAAAAACACACACAGACTCAACTAGTTTGCAAGTATGATTTCTGAAACTGTACAAGATTTCCATAGCTCCACAATGAAGGCATCAGCCCATTCCTAGCAAATCAGTTGCTTATTCTATTGGATCGAAACATAAGCTCCATTGTCGTGACCTACTTAATGACTGGGAATTCATTTCTTGCAATTGCATTGTGTCCTGCACCTTGTTGGATTTCAGCCCACAAATGTCACAGATTACTTAATCACCATTTTCTTTGTTCCCGTTCATATCTGTGACCAAAGTCACCATGTGCCAAGGCAAAGATACCACTTAATTTCCTGATTGTCTTATTTCAGTAGCTAAGTATTTCTTGCTTAACGTGATCATATTTTCTAGTAAATTTAATTATAGTCCACTCTCGATTTGTGGGGAATTTAAAATAGATCTGTCACTTTTTAGTACTTTAGAAAGATATATTCTTTACGAAATACTGATTAAGACTGCCTTGGAATTTCAATCCAAAGATACTGTAAGACAAAAGTCAAAGACCAACTTTGGGTCTCTTTTAGGGACAACTTTGTCTTATGGTAAAGCCTAAGGTTGTCAAAAGGTGAAGCTCCCATGTCAATTTTTGTCCAATCCCAGCAGCTGTCACAAATATAGGCTGTGGGATTCAGGCATTGACTATGGAAGATCCCGCAAGATCCTACATAGACCTTAGTGTTGTACTCTTGCGTTGTTGTTGTGGGTTTTTTGGGTGGGTAGGTGGGTGGTTTTAGAGACTCAGTGTGTGATCCTGTCACTGTTTTCTGGTAAGGGGTACACCGTTATCGAGTGGTTTGTCTTTTACCTGGGAGCCACTTAGTGCTGAGGCTCTTCTAATGACAACTCAGCCAATGAACTCTCAGGAGGAAAAATGTACAGAAGTGACTCTGGTTATGGGCCGGCTAGTTATGTTGTCTGAGCTGTAAGTTACACTTCAAGCAAATAGCCTAAATATCTATCATACTGAAACGATGCACAGTCAGACTCCTTGCACCAAGACTACTTCAAAACATTTAAGGGGCCATGCTGCTTGTATTAACTTTTTAATATGTAATATAGCCACAGATTATGTGACATAACTCCCACAACCCCTCTAAAAAAGAAGATATACACACAAACTTTATCATACACACATACACACTCTCACATTCTCATACACACAATCAAATTCTCTCACAATGAGAGACTCCCGGGCCCTCTCTTCATTGTACAAGCCAGCAGGGGCCCATAACTGCATAAATATATATATATATATATAAAACAAAAATAGTAATGCACTCCACCTTCCTTGATGTACTTGCCCGGTGCTTATCAGCAAACAGATACAGCCAAAAGTACAAGATAGCACTCCAGGGACTTCCAAGTTGAATGAATAAAACTTAGCTTTTATTAGCTCAAAATAAAAATCAACGTTTCAGTCTGTATCACAGACTTTAAGTGATACATTACTCTTGGTACAATTATGCTTTCAATTGCTGTTTGTTGGTACTTTGCTCCCTGTAGTTAGATTGGAATCTCTGCAGGTTTGATTGCTCATGCCTGCATTTTTGTATTTGTAGTATAAGTTACATGTCTTCTTTATGCATTATCTATTCCTTAGGTAGTATAGTTTGTATATTTATATCTTGTTAATAGGTTGCTACAGGCTAATTGCAGTTTGATCATTTTTCGATTAGTTCTGCCTGCTGTCTATCTCTAACGTATTCTCTATGGATTGTCTCTGTATCTAAATGGCCCCTGATGGGGTGTATAGGTCTTTCTTCAACATTTTTTATTCCTGTATGCAGGCTATGTTTTTAGTTATATGTATATGTATTATTTTGTTGGTTATACTGGGTTGCTATGGGAACGACCCCGGGAGGCGCATGTCTATGACATCATCAGTGTCAATCATTTGACCTGAGCAGGCTGCTGGTCAGGTGCCCCTGGGATCACTCCTATCCTCAACCTGGGTAAGTTAAGGGAATACTGAGGGTATATATTCTTATGGATTTGATTTGCAAGCTCATCCTGATGAAAGTCTGTGATACAGACTGAAACGTTGATTTTTATTTTGAGCTAATAAAAGCTAAGTTTTATTCATTCAACTTGGAAGTCCCTGGAGTGCTATCTTGTACTTTTGGCTGTATATATATATATATATATATATATATATATTTCTATATAGCAGTACGCATAACAAACCTCTCACAGCTTGCAAGACAAGGAGAAAACCTGCTGCTGCTCGAGGAGGTGGCAGATAAATATACTGGGCCCACTCTTCATTGTACAAGCATGCTGTGCCAGGAGACCACCATTGGATCGAATGTTCCCCTTTCCTGGCCACAGGTAAGAGGCATGGAATAAGCACAATAAATGTGAAAAAGAACTGCTCATCCTTCCCCCCAGCCCTTATGCAACACCACAACGCACACACTGCATGCACTACACAAACACAGATACATCATTTCGGTACACACACTGCTTTCACTACACACACTGCATCCACTACACAGACACTACATCCAAAATACAAGCACACACATTGTATTCACTACACAAACACAGATACTTCATCCACTTCACAGACACTGCATCCACCGCACACATTGTATTCACTACACAAACACAGATACTTCATCCACTTCACAGACACTGAATCCACCGCACACACTGTATCCACTACAGAAACACAGACACTGCATGCACAACACGCATTGCATTCACTACACAAAGACACTGCGTCCAGTACTCACATTGCCTCTATTACACAAACACAGACACTAAATCCACTTGAAATGACACACTGCATCCACCACAGAAACACACTGTATCCACTACACAAACACTAAATTCACTACATACATTATATCCACTATACACATACACGCTATGTGTTGCTAATGTATCAAGAGTGGTAAATAGTTTTCTTTTTTAATTATAGAAAGTATTAGAAAGCAAACAGGCCTTTTTTTTCTTTACATACTTTTTTTATCAGCATATTTCTGATGGTGTTTATAGAGGTCTGTAAATAGCTAAATACATTTTCTTATGTGCAACTTAAAGGAAAATTGACAACTCAGATTCTACACCTGCCCTGAGTGTATTTAAGTGACCCTCACACTGCTTTGTCTGAGTTATATTTAATTATCTTAAAGTAACACTATAGAGTTAGGAATGCAAAACTATATGCCTAACACTATAATGTCCCGTTGTCTCCGCCTCTGGACGAGAAAGGGTTAAATAAGCTTTTAAACACTTACCTGATTCCACCACTAAAATCCCTCTGCACTGGATCGCTCTCTGCTTCCTCCGACGTTAGCGATGGGGGGACCTAATGCGCATGAGCAGAGAGCACCGGATGCATTTCAGCCTTCCTCATAGGAAAGCATTGACTATGGGAGATTTGAAGACGCTGAATGTTCTCATGCAAAGAGCGAGGATGTCCAGCATCGTTAAACTCAGTGAAAGACAATGAAGCACCTCTAGTCTTAACCCTGAAATTTAAACATTGCAATTTCTCTGAACTGCAATGTTTTACATCGCAGAGTTAAGGGGACAGGGATACAGCACCCAGACCACTTCTATGAGATGAATTGGCCTGGGTGTCTATATTGTCTCTTTAAGCATGAGTTCCACCAACAACCAAGGAGTGTCAGTTTCCATTCAATTGCCACTCACTGTAAGTTTTTATGCATACTCTGCGATTAACTGATGCCAAGATACATCTGAGTTATGTTTTTATGTCAGTCTATGAGCTGTGCTGATACCGGAGAAACTGACGGAAGCAAAGCACAGAGAGATGGACACAGGTTTCTTCAGGAAGGAAGAGATTCTTTATTGGATCACCGATCGGGACTCAGAGGGACTAATGTCACCAAAAATACAGCAAGTTCTGAGCCCTGAACAATAGTGCAGGCTCCCTATATAGGCACATAACTCCTCCCATATTAAGCTCCACCCGCACATTCTCTTGACCAATCATTACAAATAAGAATTAACTTCCTGCTTGACCGCATGGCTTGTCCAGCACAATGGAGGAGGGGAATACTACATCCTGTATTCTTGCACATGCTCCGTACACTACTGATCGTATCTTGCCTCGTGCAACCAACTGATCGATACGTCAGCATATGCACGTACACATGCCACGTGGTAATCTCGGCCTACTAAATTTATTTTTACCGAGATTCCACCACATTCCCCCCTTTGATGCCTCTTGATATTTTACAATTACTTGAGGCATCACTTAACCTTGGTTTGCATACACCACAAGTTACCTTTGAACCAGACCAGACTTATCCTATGATGTGAATCTTCAACACTCGTCTTCCTGCATTGGTTCTCCCTGATCTAGAGCCTTATATTTATAAATTGCCATTATCTGTGCAGCAGCCTTCCTCTCTGCTATATTTTCTATCAGGCTTTGCACAGACCTAACTACTAAGGGTATAAGACACGGCAGGAGTAGACACAACATTAAAATCAGTAGGACTCCACCTACCACTGCCTTAAGCCCTCCAAACCACTCATACCAGCTACCAAACCAACTACTTGGATTGTACCCTTTCCATACCTGAGTAGGCACATGCGCTAGTTTAACCATATGGCTAGTAAGCTCAGCTATTGCTTGCCCTTCGTCATCTATTTGAAGACAGCAATTGCTCAGGTTAAACTTCCCACATACACCTCCCTCTACTGCCAAAAGATAATCCAAGGCTAATCTATTTTGGTAAACTGCTGTCCTCATCCTGGTATTATGCTTCGCTAGAAGATTGAGCGCTTGTGATGTCTCGTTAGTAATGATCTCAACCACCGCCTGTAACCTTATAATGCGGTTGAGCATATAAATAGGGGTTCTATAACCAAAGGTACCATCCTCTGCCCACGTGGCTGGCCCATAATAATCTATAATACGCTGGGGAGGCCATTCATTATCTTCCCAGGCACCTATCTCTATGGGTCCCCTTTTCTTCCTATGATTCACATCATACACTTTAACACCTAAAGTCTCACCTGTTTCAATAGGCAACAAGAAGAAGGATGGTTTTAACATACCCAACACACATGCCCCTTCCCAGTCCTGTGGTAACTCCGAATAGGCCTTCTTACCACAGATCCAGTACAAATTCGCTGGGGCTCTCCAGTTAGATGTGATGGATAGATCAAACCATACGTCCTTTAAATTGGCATATCTTGCAAACGGGTTAGATGGTTCTGAGACATTTGAAGCCGACCACCAAGTTGTATTCTTTGTATCATCATCATAAGCTTTTTGCCCTAGACAAGTTAATTCTCCTACAGAAGTATTATACATCATTCCT